TGAGGAGGCGGAGGCAGTCACACATACTGCTGACGGGAGTGTAAATTCATACCACCTCCTTGGAAAGCAATTTGGTAATAACTATTGAAATTGATGAAAAAGTTCTGGACATAGTGACGGGTTGTACAACATTGTGAATGTACTTAATGCCACTGAACCGCATAGTAAATTTTATATTTTACCACAAAAAAACCCCGCAGTTTTGGAACTGCCACAGCAATGTAAGAGATCAACTTTTTTTACTTACAAAATTCACTTCTTAAACACCATTTGTAGGAAATTTGTACAAAGTAGGCTGTGAATGGAATATTTTATTTGTAAGACTGACTCCTGGATAGCAGCTGGCAGGCCCAGGAACGCAGACTTGCCACATGGCCACAGCTACAGGTAAGATGACCCGATCCTGTGGTGACATCTTTTATTCTGGGTGCTTCTGTCCCTTTCACAGGTATGTTGCCTTTCACTTTCAACTCTGTAGGAGTGTTTCCTGGTCTTGCTTTTGATGACCCCCAAACCAGTAACCTATTTGTTTTTTTAAAGGATTTTATTTATTTATTTGACAGTGAGAGAGGGAGTGGGAGAAGCAGGCTCCTCTCCAAGAAACGAGCCGGATGCAGGGCTCAATCCCATGACCCTGGGACCATGACCCAAGCTGAAGGCAGATGCTTAACTGACTGAGCCACCTAGGCACCCCTTCTCTGTGTTTGCTGTTAAGCTTTAATTCGCAGGACAATCATGATACTTTTTTTTTTTTTTTGCATTTTTCTGGCTTCTTGACCAGTTGCTCTCGGAACTTGGGAAAATGAATACATTTCCCAAGAAATGCTGAGAAGGAATTCCTACGTGTGCACACTAGAAGGAACCACAAGAGGGACCAGGAACACTAGAAGAAAATGGAGCATGAAAGCCAAGTTATGAGAGCGCTTCAGTAGAAAAACTAAGATAAATAAGATAAAAATTAAATTACTGATTCGCTAACTAAGTCCTGAGGTGTCTTAAAGGACAGTTTCTGTGGAGTAGTACCTTGTAGAGCAGCCAGCATTGGAGGCAGAGCTGGCTTGGAATCCTGGCTCTTAGGTTTACCAGATACGTGATCCTGGACAAGTTATTTAATATTACCAGTGAGCCTCAGTTCCCTCCTCTATTAAAGGGAAATAATACCTACTGTCAGGTATGCAATTTAAGGTTAACTATTGTTTCATGGATGCTGGCAGAAGACAAGAGATGCCAATGTCATGGACAAAAGGCCTTATTCATGGTACAAGCCAAGTGAGCATCATGTATGTATCGGCTCTTTTGCCTCCCAAGCCCCACAGGCAACATGGAGGGGCCCGATGCATGCCGGGCACACAGCGAGTGGCACTGTGGAGGAGGAACAATGAACTTGAGGAACCTGGTGCTTTATGGTAAGTAGTAAGCAAGCTGCTCTTTGTCCCACATAGAGACACTCCTCCCTCACGGTTGCTTAATGCAAACACAACCAGAAGAAATGGCTGGGGGAAGAGTAAACGAGTTGTCAGGGCCTTGTCTTTTTTTTTCCCCCCATATACTCTAGGTTATAGCTTACTAAAGGAAAAGGATACAGATTAAAATCAGCAAAGGATAAAGGTGCGTGGGGCAAAGTCTAGGAGAAACCAGACACGAACTTACAAACTTGCAGGTGTCCTTGTCCCATGGAGTTGCCCTTTATTCTCCCAACGGCTTGTGACAATATGTGTGAACTGTTGCCAAGCGGAGAAACTCACCCAAGCCTTGGTGTCTAGGGTTTTTGTTGGGGAGTCAGTTACACAGACATGGAGACTCACATGACTGACCTCAGCTGCTCAGACTCCGTCTCCCAGAGCAAAGACAGGCATTCATCATAAACCACATTGTTAGGATAAACTCATCTGGTCAGACTGGTACCACATGACTCGAGGCCTCCAGTGTACAGGAACACCCTCATCAGGCAAAATAGTACAAGGGCTCAGAATTTACCTCCCAGGAAGGAGCCAGGTGCTAGTCCTGAAGATGAGCTTTCTTTGGAATGTGCAGGGTTTGAGCAGCCTGGGCCTGCTGAGTTAGTCCTTTTCTGCACACGCCTGATCTTCATGAGTCCATTGCCTGGTGAACTACGGTGATGTTTTGGATCTCCAAGAATTAGGATGGGTCTAGATCCAACGTCCAGTAAGCCCTGAAAACTCTAGTTACTTCCCCTTTTCCCGTGCCCTGCCACCCTGGGACATGGCTGCAGGTGCATTTGGAAAAGGCTAGAAGGAACGTATACAGCATGTCTCATTCAGGAGCCTCTAGGTCTGGAATCCGCTCATCTGACCATTTGTTGAAGGCAAGGCCTTGTATTTTTGGCAAAAACAGCAAGATATGGGGCGGTGCGAGAGACACATGGAAGCACAATTACTTTGTGTGGTTCTCATACACATTACATGGGAATGTATGTAAAGTGCTTTACACAGTACCTGGCCCATGGTAAATGCTCAACCCAGTGGCTATAACACTGTTGCCATAGGCCAAAGAACACAGTGATTGCAGGCTACCGTTTCAAGAAATTTAGCTGAGGGGTGCCTGGCGGCCTCAGTCGGTGGTAAACCATGTGATTCTTGATGTTGGGGCTGTGAGTTCAAGCCCCTGGTGGGGTGTAGGGATTACTTAAAAATAAAATCTTAGGGGCGCCTGGGTGGCTCAGAGGGTTAAGCCTCTCCCTTCAGCTCGGGTCGTGATATCAGGGTACTGGGATCAAGCCCCGCATCAGGATCTCTGCTCGGCGGGGAGCCTGCTTCCCTCTCTCTGTCTACTTTTGTTCTCTTTCTCTGTCAAATAAATAAAATCTTTAAAAAAATAAAATCTTAAAAGACAGATTTTAGACTGGCATGTGTGTGTTCCAGAAAAGAGAGGGGCTCTGAAACCATAAAACTAAGAGGAAAGGAAGAATAACAGATGTAGCAAAGTCCCTGAGAGGGCAGTAGGGGAAATCATGAGCACAGCTGTGTTGGTGAGCATGGCGCCCAAGTAAAAATACTGGTCAAAGTGGGGAATGCAGTGTTAAGAGCTCCTATCTGAAACCTTAGGTTTCTTAGTGAAAGAGAAGGTATTCACTGGTTAAGGATGTAGGGAAGACTTATGTCATACTGAAGGCTCACTGAGATTGGAGATCAGGAAAGGTGTGCTGGCCCCTGTAGGTAGCACTGCAATTTTCCCCTCTTTGCAGCTCATGGGTGATAAATCAATATTGGGAGGGTGGATTAGTTCATTCTTTGGGTTGCAAGTAACAGAAACTCAAACTACCTGAAACAGAAGGGGAATGAATTAGAAGGATACTGGGATCTCCCACTGAAAACAGGGCCAGGATCACAGCTGGTCAGGAATGGACACTGGGACTGAAGTGCCTTAGGGAACCTAGGAAATTGTCACTCATCTTGGCCCTCCACTGACTGCACCCACCCTGGAACTTGGACTTCCAAGCCTTATGAGTCACAGTCCAGGCCCAGAGAAAAGTTACAAAATTCCTAGGTAGGGTTGGGTCAGCCTGGTGACAAGAGTAAACAGCCACCTCTAATACAGAGCTAGGCAGACGTTCGAATAGCTCTCTGGTAGGGCAGGGCAGGTCTCCGCAGAGTAAAAATTTTTACCCAGTCAAGGACCTAGACTTACAGTTTATAAACAGGGATTTCACAAGGAACATCATTTATTGACATTTTAATGAGACCCAATCTGGTATGACCCCTGTCGTGGGGCAGCTCATCCATTCATCCAAGGAGAAACAGACAAATAGTTACAATGCATCTTGCTAACTACCAGAACAGAGGTAATTACAAACACTGCGTCCCCCAGCAGCTCTCCCACTTTAGGGCTGAGATTAGGAGAGCTGAAGGAACAAGCAACAGGGGTAGGAACATGACTCACTCCAGCTGTTGAATAGGAGAGAAGTCATGTTTGGAAATCCCAATTTGGTGCAGCTACCCAAGGCAAAGTGGTAGGCCTTGTTCATTTTAATGCGGTAAAGCTTTATTGATCATCTACTCAGGGGCAGGTGCCAGGGAGGCATATCAGAGATTAAGACACATTGCTGCTGCTGCTTTGGGGAGCTTCTGTGAGGAAGGCAGGCATAAACACAACTCGATGGCTGTAGGCTCCTCCTGCCCTGTATTCAAGTACTTGGCTTTCTGCCCTCCTTGAATGGCCTCGCCTCACTTTATGAAAAATGTTGACTGAGGACTCACAGAAGGTTCTGTGCTGATGTCTCCTTATTCGGTTGAGAATCAGGGAGGAGTGAGACCCAGTTCTCAAGGATTTTCTAGCCACTGGCTGCCTGAAACGAATCCAAATCCCCTGGATGAAGTGCAAGCTGGTCCCACTTTTACCTCTTGCTGCTAGACCATAGCTCCCCTGCTTCTCCTTAAAATCAGTCTTCTCCCAAAACTCACTTTATCTATGTCCCAGACCCAACTTGAATCAATTTTCCAAACATAGGGGGCAGAAGACTTAGCTTCACAGTATGTGGTTTAAAAAAAAAAAAAAAAAAAAAAGCTTAGGTATTTATGTCTTCGTAACCCAATGAAGCCCTGCTCCAATGTCACCACCCCCAAATTCAGTGCAATCTAGAGCTGTTAAAATAAGTAGAGACCAAGGAGGTGTGCACTGTACACTGTGGTGCTGGCTTATTTTTGGATGACCCTTTAAAAGGGACACTGAAAAACCAACACCTGTTTGGAGAAAGATCACGTGTGGGAATTGAAACCCTGTCAATTGACCAAATCATGCTGTTTAACCTGAAAACGTGGGCAAAGCAATTGTGGTTAAGTTATCTGAAATGCCGTCATGTAGATGAAGTATTACATACGCTGGGCTAGGCTTCTAGGAAAGGAGAAGGTGGTACTTAACCACCTTCTAAAGATCAGAGCTATCCCAAAACGAAATTACCTGCCTTGTGAGGTAGTGAGCTCCCTGTCAAGGGAGGTTTTAAAACAAAGGGAAAAAAAAAAAAAAAAAAAAAAAAAAAAACACTTGGCAGGAGTGTTGAAGGGGGCTAAACCAGGTTTGTTTAAACCTGGTATGGAGGAAGGGGCAAAGGAGGGCAAGATACTGCCCCCCACCAAATGTATGCACGAACTAGAAAAGCAAACAGCCCCTAAAATGGATGGGAGAACTTTTAGCCCTGACATCCACACACAGAAATTCTTTTGGGATAGGGTAGCCTGGAAAACAACCATGTGATGTAAGCTCTCCTAACAGGACTGTTCTAGACACATCCGGTAAGGCAGCCAGTGTGGTGAGACAGACTCAAGTTCAGGTCGCCATAGCAGACCTGGGTGTTCCTTCTGCCTCTGCCTTGTATGACCCGGGGCTTCACCTTCCCTTCCCTGAGCCCCTCCATGAAATGAAATGAAAATCTACTGTCCTTCCTGTACTAAAGGGCACTGCCCTTCTGGGCGGCCCCCCCTGCAGCAGCTCTGGGGCCGCAGTTCGGGGCTCTGGGGCTACACTTGTGGACGGCCAGAGACCACCGCTGGCGGAAGCAACGGCCGCACTCGAGGCAGGGGAAGGGCTTCTCCCCCGTGTGCAGGAGCTGGTGCTGTGCCAGGTGGCTCCACTGGGCGAAGCGCTTGGAGCACAGGTCGCACGCGTACGGCCGCTCGCCGGAGTGCACGCGCCGGTGGCTGGCCAGGAGTGAGGGGTAGGCAAAGCGACGGCCACAGTCCTCGCAGGCATGCAGCTTCTCCTCGGTGTGCGTGCTGCGGTGGATGGCCAGGGAGCCGCTCCGCCGGAAGGCGCGGCCGCAGTCCGGGCAGGGGTAGGGCTTCTCCCCCGTGTGCAAGAGCTGGTGCTGGAGCAGCGTGCTGCGCTGGGAGAAGCGGGCCTCGCAGTGCTCGCAGGCGTAGGGGCGCTCGCCGGAGTGCACCCGCCGGTGGCTGACCAGGCGGGAGGACGAGGAGAAGCGCCGCTCGCAGTCCGGGCACGGGTAGGGCTTCTCGCCCGTGTGGATGCGCTGGTGGATGACCAGCGCGGTGCGCTGTCGGAAGCGGCGGCTGCATTCCAGGCAGGTGTAGGGCTTCTCGCCCGTGTGCGTGCGCTGGTGGATGGCCAGCAGGGAGGGGTAGGCAAAGCGCCGGCCACAGCTGGGGCACTGGTGGGGTTTCTCGCCGGTATGCGTGGTCCGGTGATTGGCTAGGGACCGGCTCCTCCGGAAGCAGCGGCCGCAGTCAGGGCAGTGGTAGGGCTTCTCGCCCGTGTGGATGACCTGGTGCTGCGAGAGGTTCTTGCGCTGGGAGAAGCGCTTGCCACACTGGTCACAAACGTAGGGACACTCACCAGAGTGTGCCCGCCGGTGACTGACTAGCAGGGAGGGGTAGGAGAAGCGGCGCCCGCAGTCCGGGCAAGGGTAAGGCTTTTTCAGATTCTGGGCACACTTGTGGCTCTCCAGGGCCGGCCGGTCAGGGAAGGTGCAACCACAGTCCGGGCAGATGGGGCCCCCAGAGGTCTGCCTGGGGATTAGTCGGGGTTTGCTGGGCCGCCGGCCTCGCTTGCCCTTTCGGGGGGCCTCCTTAGGTGGGAACACTTCCTTTTCTCCATTCTTCTTTCTGGTTCTGGTTTCTACGGACACACAGGGAGACATTAATTTAACAAATACGGGGCCCCTGCCCTTGCCTATGGCAGTGTTATAGGTTAGAAGGCGAAGACACTCAACCTGTCTTCAGGGAGTGTTAGTGCCACAGACATCCCACTGTGACACAACCACTACAGAAACGGGGAGGATATTCCAGGAGTCCCCAGCTCCATCTGGAGAAGTCGGGAAGTGTTTCTTGCAGGTTCTGCAGGCTTGAGAAATTAAGTTTTTGAAGCGGTAAGTATAAGGCAGGAAGTGGGAACATGAGGTACGGGCTGGCAGGGACTAGGTCATAAGGCCCTCTAAGCCAGTGGTTCTCAAATTTTATGGTGATCAGAATCATTTGGATGGCTCATTGAAACAATTTTGGGTTCACCAGCTCTGGGATGGGGCCCAAGAATTTGTATCTGATTCTTTATCCGGGTGATGCTGCAGCTGGTCTGAGACTACATCCTCAGAACCACTGCCATTCAGGACCGTGAACTCTATTTTATACAATGGTTCTTAAACTTAAACAAGCATGCCAATCTGCTGGGGCTGTTAAAAGAGAAATACAAAGTCCTAGACTTCCATCGGAGTAAATCAATAGTTCTGGGTCCAGGAATCTCTACTTTTTTTTTAAAGATTTTATTCATTTATTTGACAGAAAGAGAGAGAGAGCACAAGCAGAGGGAGCTGCAGGCAAAGGGAAAGGGAGAAGCAGGCTCCCACCGAGGAGAAACCCTGATGTGGGGCTCGATCCCAGAACTCCAGGATCGTGACCTGAGCCAAAGGCCAATGCTTAACCGACTGAGCCACCCAGGCGCCCCTAGGAATCTGTTTTTTTTTTTTTTTTACCGAGTTCCCCAAGTGACTCAGGTAACTGACAACCTTTTGACAACATACCGTGGAAAAATGGAAAGGTTTTTAGTAAGGAAGTATCATTTTAGTAAGGAAGTATCACTTAGTAAGGAACTATCTTGGAAAGAGAGTCCTGGCCTCAGAGAATCTAGCACAGAAGTGTCAGTCCAGATGCTTACATTCAGCCCCACGGGTGGATCCGGGGCCCTTCTCCCTGACTGGCATTAAGGAGAGCCTTGCTTGATCCCCAGGAGAGCGTAGATTCCTGCACTGATTAGGAGTCACCCCGCCAAAAGGGCAGAAAAGAGGGCTCTGCACTCCCAGACCGCTGTTCCCCACGAGATCCCTTCAACCAAAATCCAGAAACTCAGGGAGGTATCTTGTGTCTCAGAGCACAGTACAGAGCAGACTGGGTTCAGGGATCCTGAGAAGGAGGCCAGAGGGTAGCTCCTTTTAAAAGCTAACGGATTCATTCACGCAATAGAGAACTGCGGACCCTTAGTTTGCAAACTGACATGAAAATCACCCTATGGTGGGACCCACCCAACACCATCAGAGAGACAAGACTCTGAAGCTGTGAAAACAATCAGTGGCATGGGTACCCCTGGCCACTAACATTCTAGACAAGTTTAGAGGCTGCAGGCCCTGCACGGGCATTTTTCACTCACTTCTTTGGACTGTTAACCCCCTTGGGCACTCCTGCGGATCCAAGGCAGCCGGTTCCCAATCATCAGTATTTCGTTCCAACCAGGAGATGAGGGCTGGTTTGGGACCTGAGCACCCTGGGGAAGGAGAACCAGTCAGACGTCCAGCTCCTAGATAAGACTGGGTAAAGATCTACCCGGTGTCATCTCCTGCCAAGCCCCGGTCCTCCTCCCCTGACACAACCTGGTCACGGGCCAGATCCCTGGACACTCTGAACTCCCTGCCGTCAGCCCCCCCCCCCCCCCACGCCTTCACCCACCGCCCGACCTAAGCTCCTCCAACCTTTCGGGCCCCGCGGAAGCGAACTGGGTCGGGCCTCACCGAGCGCGCTCAGGTGGCCGTAGGTCTCCCGCATCACGTCCCGGTACAGGGCCCTCTGCGCGGGCCGCAGACAGCCCCACTCCTCCGGGGAGAAGTACACGGCCACGTCTGCGAACTTCACCGCCCTCGGCCTCCTTCCCCTTCTCCGGCCGGGAACGGGCTCTCCTGGTCCCCGCGCGGAGAGCGGAGACGAAGGTGGCGCCATTGGACCCCAGAAGCCGGCGCCACGGCCTTCCCCGGCCCGGACCCTTGGCAGACCCCGGGATTTGGGAGCCCCCGCCGCACCGGGGCTGAGCGTGCTGGGGAGGCCCTGAGGGAATCGGAATCGGCCGCCCTGCTGGGCTAACGGAAATCTTTTGCTGTTATTCAGGCAACTCCTGCCCGAACTTGGGGAAAAGGCACCGGAAGATGCCTTCGGGGAAGATGGCGGCGCTGCTACCGCACCGCCTTAGCCTGGAACACAGGCGGCTTCCAGCTATCGATTTTATTGACCGGAGCGCCATGCCGGCTTCCTAACCTCTTTGCCCTCAAGTGTGATGGCGCTGCGATTGGGCTTCACGCCCTTTTTTCCCCCATTCCGCGCGCTCATTGGGCGGCGACCGAAGATCGAGCGTTCTGATTGGCTGATGGTGAAAGCGGCCTGTTTGAACGAAGCCAACGGAAGCGTAAGGGCAGGAAGCCGACCTTCCGCGCCGGTGCCTGCAGCCAGATCCGAGGCTGGCTGCGGGGAGCTCGCCCGGCGTCAGTGACAGGCCCCGGTTCTCTGGCAGGCGCTGCCCCGCTGAGGGACGGAATGATTTGAGTGACGGAGCCACTCCAGCCAACCCGGGGCTGAGATTACCCCGGGTGGCTTTCTGAGAATTGGACAATTTCCTTGTTGCCCTTTTGGGAGGGAAATTAACGTTGGCGTTTCCCGCGCGCAGGCACTCTGCCCCCGTTACACATTTCGTCTTTTCTTTTTTTTTTCCTTTGCTACCATTGTGTTAAGTTATGGTCATCATCCGGTTCTACTGATAAGAAAAATCTCAGAGGGATACTGTTAGTAAAGAGAAGGAACAAGGATTTAAACCCGGGATTGACCCGGCCTTTATCCAAACTGGTGAACTCGGCTCCCTTCCCCCTGCTATCCGAATTCGCTTGTGAACTCAACAGTCTGAGCTCCTGGCCTCTTCTCAGGTTCAATCTTCTGCACATCTCCCCATACTCTGTTTACATGACATCTGTCCAATGTACAAAGCGTAGCTCTAGGCAGTTTGGAAATAAGTCATGCACCATGCTCTGAATGGAGTTTCTAGTTGACTGAGGCATATGCATTTACAACTAATAACAGTGCTGCAAGCATGTACGTGAAAGGCGTAAGAAAATTGCTGATGGAAACAGTCAGCCCTGGCTCCATCAGCCCCTGGCTCCTGTGTAAGTGTGCAGGGTTTTACCAGCTCAGGGTCATCTCCCAGGGGATTTGAGGGTTAGCAATATGCCATTTACTATATACTTCAGCTGGTGACACACATCTCTCTCCAACCCATTAAATTTTTTTTCAAAGCACCTACTATGGGCAAAACATTACACCACGGAGAGCCTGGGTGGCTCAGTCGGCTGGACATCTGCCTTCTGCTTCAGTCGTGATCTCAGGGTCTCAGTCGTGATCTCAGGGTCCTGGGATCAAGCTGGACATTGGGCTCCCTGCTCAGCCGAGAGTCTGCTCCACCACCCCCCCACCCCACCGACCCTCCTCCCTGCTTGCTCTGTTATCTCTCTCAAAAAACAAAAACAAAAACACTATCCCAAAGCCTGCAAGGAGTAAAGACAACATGTCAGGAATTCACAAGATAACATAGGTCGTAAGAGATTCCAAAGAAGATTGTCTTTGAACAGAGGAAGTAGGAAACACACACACACACACACAACTGCAGTAAACATTGAGTTCTACTCTGTCCCAAGCATAGTGATGGTTTATTGAACAAACTACTGGGGGAGGAGGTGGAATGTCAAGCTTGTCAAAATGAGTAAGATAGAGTCCCCTCTGAATGACTTTCCAGATTGATACATCAGGTGGAAAATGAGTTTGGTCTATGAATGGGTAGGGTTTGGAGAGGGCAGTGGTGCTCAATGTACATCTGTTGAATAAACAGCTGAATTCCACAGCCATAAAGATCTCTGGTACAAAGCCAGGAATTCAGGAAAGCTCTGACTGTGGTGGGAATGAGGACACTTTCTGCGCAGCACAAAATACTGTTAGGATAAAACTGAAGGATTGATCAGATAGGTTGGCACCAGATATTGGACGGCTTCATCCTGCCATCACTGGGGAGCTCCAAATCAGTCCAGAGGAGTGATTTACCTTCCGATAATGTTTTTGGAAAATTACTCTGGTAGTTTGTTTGCAGGGCAAACTGATAGCTTTGTGTCTAAGCTTTCTGCCTATACATAATTCAGTTTGGAGAAATAAGATGGTAAACTTAGGCTGCTAAGGGAATACAAAGGCCAATGGAGAGCAAACCATTTAATTTGGAAGAAAGTGACTAAACAGAAGACTGGAAAGAAATCTGCGGACATTTTGCCTGAATGGTAATGATGTGCTGTCAATGATGCTGACATTGAACAGGAAGGATGATTTACTATTAAGATGAAAAGGTGCTTAGCCCTCTTCCCACATGCAGGAAAGGGGAGAGCAGGCTGGGCTGAGGAGCAGCCTAGCCCTTTGGCCCTGGCTGGAAAGGCCCCATTTGGCCCTGGGCTGTAAAGTCCTGGCTTGCCATCATCTTGGTGGGAGCTCCTAATGTAGGACCTAGGAATCAGGCAGAGTTGGAGGCTCTTAACTACGGGGAAACATTCTGGAGAGAGAAGCACTCAGGACTTAATGTGAGAGCAGAGGTTCTTGCTCCTTTTCTGTATAAATTCCTGGATCCATCTTGAGCATAGGGACAAGCAGGGCTCCTCTTGAAGGCTGCCCACTGTAGAGAAGGATGGAGAAGATCTAGGGAATCTACACACCAAGAGGCCACATAAAGACCAAAGATACACTGTTTTGGAAAAAGCGAAATGGTGTTGAGGGCCAACTAAGTACCAGCTGCCACCTTGTAAGCACATGGATATAGATGATCTCAATTGAAACTCATCTTCCAGGGGCAACTGGCTTGCTCAGTCGGAGGAAGAGAAGATGCTTAATCTCAGCATCATGAGTTCAAGCCCCATGTTGGGTGTAGAGATTACTTCCATAAATAAAAACTTAAAGAAAAAAGAAACACACCTTTCAGAGTCCTTATGAAGACAGTTATCAGACAGTTGAGAAGCTTATCCAAAACCTGTTATTAAAGACAGGGATGAGATCTGAACCTAGAATGTCCTCTGCATTCCACTGGCAGCTTAAACTGGGTGCAAGGCTTTGAGGTTAATTTCTCCTTGGTTCATCCTCAATTAGAGGGAAGTAACTGGCAGTGCAACCTTTGATGATAGCACACATGGACTTCACCTTATGCACCTTATGCACTAACTGGAACCCTACCTTTGCCTCAAATGTCACTGTAGCATAAACCCAGACTCCAGCAAGCCATGTTAGTCCTGGGAGAAAGTCATGTCATGAATAATGAAGGAAACTTATATTTTCTCTTGTTTTTTAAGATTTTATTTGTATGAGGGGCACCTAGGTGGCTCATTTGGTTAAGCAACTTCCTTCAGCTCAGGTCATGTTCCCAGGGTCCTGGGATAGAGCCCCACATCTAGCTCCTTGTTCAGCAGGGAGCTTGCTTCTCCCTCTCCCTGCTACTCTGCCTGCTTGTGCTCTCTGTGTCAAATAAATAAAAATTCTTTTTAAAAGATTTTATTTATATGAGAGAGAGAAAGCACAGAGAGAGGGGGAGAAGCAGACTCCCCACTGAGCAGGGAGCCGGACATGGAGCTAAATCCCAAGACCAGATCAAGACCAGACCAAGATCAGGATCTGAGTGGAAGGCAGGCGTTTAACTGACTGAGCCACCCAGGCACCCCAAACCTGACCTTTTCTTAGCAGAGTCTCATAATCCAGTTCTGGCCTGTCCATCTCTGGGTGAGGTAACTCACTGGAACATTTCTGATTACCTCTATATTCTGTTCTCTGAAGGAGGACGTAAATGCACTATAGACCTCTTCACTTTGTACATCAACACCACCACCACCTTTTTCCCTCTCTCTTCTGCCTCTTCACTCTGTGTGGCTACCACTTGATCAAAAGGGATATCTTCCATCATAAGCTTCTTCACAGCACCCACACTTCTGGAATTTAGCTAATAGTGGACATGAACTGAGGGCTCCTGATCTCCAAGGGAGGAGGCTAGGGCACAGGTCTCCCACACCTTGGTCTCTCCACGTTTGTTTTTTTTGCACACAAAAGCCTTGTTTGTTTGTTTGTTTAGAGAGAGCGAGCCAGCACGGCGCAGGGTGTGTTGAGAGACAGAGGAAGAGAGAATCTAAGGCAGGCTCCACTCCCGGTGCGGGGTTGGATCTCGCAATACTGAGATCACGACCTGGGCCAAGATCAAGGGTCAGTCAGTTAACTGAGTGAGCCACCCAGATAGATGCCCCTTGACTTCTCCATGTTTGCCCAATGGATTCACTGGCGGGCTTGCAGGGTTAACTTCCTCTTGGAGATTTTCCCAATGCTCAGGGCTGAGAAAGGGCCTCTCATCAGAGTGGAGGTATCCATGGCTTAGCAAGGGGGAGGAGAAGATGGCCACACTCTGGGCAGGGGTAGTTTCCCCGGTGTGAGTGCATATCTGTGAATGGCCAAGGGCGCCTGTGGCTGAAGCACCACCTACAGCCGCAGCACCGGTAGGGCCTCTTCCCCGTGCCGGTGAGCACAGTGAGCCCCACACTCCAGACAATGATGGCGGCGCTTCCTCCCGCGCACACGCAGGTGGTGGGCCAGGAGGGCGGGGCGTGCAAGGGCACACCCACAGTCTGCACCTGCGTTGGGCCTGGCTCGGGAGCAAGCGGCAGCTGCAGTCAGGACACAGGTGTGCCATGTGTGGAGCAGCTATGCTAGACCACGTGCACCCTCTGGGAAAAGTGGACACTGCACAACCCCCCCTTAACACACACACACACGCACACACACGGGGACAGTCATGAGAGTGGATCCACCAGTGTCTAACAGTGAGGGGATCGCAAAGAGCTGCCCACGGCCCAGACGTGTATAAAACTTCTTCCTTATGGAGGTGGCCAGCGCCCTACTTTTTCAAAAACAGCAGCCACACCTGGGGAGGGAGGGGCATCAGAAGACTGTCTCGCCTGGGCGGAGGAGCTGACGGTGGAGCAGCTCCCTGCACCACGAAAGCAGCCTCCATACTGTCACAGCGAGACGCTGCTCAGCACAGAAGGCCTGCTGGGGGCTGGCCAGGAGGAAGAGTACAGCCCAGACAGGGTGGCCCCTCTCGCCTAGGCTGCATTCAGTTCCTTCACCCCCATTGCTTTCTGCACAGAAAAGAGAATCGGAACTAAAGATTGTGGGGTGCTCTGACCCACCCCAGACTCACCCCGGTTCAACCAGTGCAGAAGGATCTAAGGGTGAAGCCCTCACCCGGCCATGATCCACCAGCCTCAGGCAGTTTCCTATTTTCAGAAAGAGAGCCAT